TAAAGTAGTTCAAACTTAAATATAATTAGTATTACTTAATTTTTATCTTAAGAAAACTATAAATAATCTATACAAAATGTATTACTCATTTTTATCTTTAAATTATTAATTATAATTTAATATGCGCTTTTTTATATTTTCAATCATTTTAATCAACTAAATATAAATTTTACTTCGTAAAATGTAACTAGCATTTAAGAATGTATTATCTATTCTTTATTTTTTAAAATATGAGTATTACCTTGTGATTTAAGTGTGTGTTATTCATCTACTGTTAGTTTTTAATAATAATAAAAATAATAGGAAAAAAATAGAAATTGTGAGATAAAATATGCAAATGATACTAAAACTAGATGGATAAGTAATAACACAAACTAAATACTTTTTTAACTAAAAATATCTAATGATATAATATATAATATTAGGATTTTAATTATACTTTGACCGGATCGTTGACCCGAGTTGACCCCCAGTTCAACCGGTTAACCCTTGATCCAGTGCTTTGTCCGAGTCGACGTCCGGTCCGGTTTTCAGAACATTGATATATATAGTGTGAGTGTGTGTGTTTGTGAGACTGAGATTGAAGGATGCAAATGAACAACGTAACTATATATGTAAGGAATGCCCACTTCCCACTCCTCTCTCTCATTCCACACATGCATAACAATTAATTCGTCAGAAGAAGATGACAATTATAACTGTGGCATGGGCAGTCCTCTTTCCACCCAATTAGCTAGCTGACTTTTTTTATATACATTTCTCTTATCAAATTTGAATTTTGTTTATTTTCGTTCATCTCAAAATAAAATTTACTCCGAGTATATTTTTACTTTTTCTTTTTTTTTTTTTGAAAAAATAAATAGGAATCGCTTAATTAACATGCCTCTATCTTTCAAACAAATATTAACTAATCTCTTTAGATTTAAACATATTTTTTTTCTTAATTTTTGTGAACTCAAATCATATACTCCCTCCGTCCCGGAGTATTCGTCCAGTTTTGACTTTTGGAACTGTTCATCTAAAGACTTTGACTCATCAAATTCTCTCAATGTGTAAGCCTAAATATAGTCATGTGTGATCTTGTTTGATTTATCTTAACATATAGATTATTAATATATAATTTATATAATTTTTTAATATACAAATTACAAGATAAAATGTATTAAAGAAGTGTATTGGATAGTGTGTAAAAATGAAAGTGGACAAATACTCTGGGACGGAGGTAGTACTACTCTCTTTCTCCACCTTTGTTCTTCTCATTCAACTTTTAACGGTCTTTAATTATTCGACACTTTTGTAATCGGTGTATCAATTTATGTGTAGATATATATTATAAAAATATAATATTTCACAATGAACTTAATTAATAATATTAAATTTATATTATAATTCAGTGAATGTCTTCCGTAATTTGTAATTAAAGTTTAAGAACATTGATAAGAAAAGTCAAAATGAGAAGAACTAAAGTGGAGGAGTAAGAGAGCAATGTATTTGGAAAATTCATACACACACCAGCGGAAATTGATAATATTTTTCTTATCTTATCTCTCCACTCCGTGCATGCAGGCCCGTTATTTAAATTTTTTTATGGTTTTCAGTACAAATTTTTAATCAAAAGCTATAAATGTTTTATAAAATATTTTTGAAATATTATTTTATCTAATTAATATACAATATATATTTTGTTTAAATATAGGTCAAAGGTTGGAAACGATTGACTGTAAAAGTTGCAATTGGCCAAACACTCATAGACGGAGATAGTATATACCGTAGAAAGTACACTGTATTTGGTTAAAATGGTTAATATGCACCATTTAAAAATTATTCAAAATGTTCATATTAATTTTAAAATTATAATAAATGATGTTCTTAAACAAGGCCAAATTGAAGAGAGTATTTGGTTGAATTAGTTCTTTGAAATTGAATAATGTCATAAAACGCTACTCGCATACATCATCAACACATGTATGAGACATAAAGAGAGTAAGGGGATGTTTGTTTCAGCCTCTTAATGATTCAGATATCTGAATGGTTCAACACTTAATGGTTCAGTCTATTTGTTTCGTGAGCAGATGTCTGAACGGTTCAGACATTTGCCCCTGAATGATTACGTATTATACAGAGTCTGAATGGTTAAGACTTCTTATTTGAATTGATAAGACATTTGCCTCTAAATAGTTAAGCAATATACTAGCTCTTAATGATTCAGACCTCTTACTGGTTCAGCACTTAATGGTTCAGACCTCTTACTGGTTCAGCACTTACCTATTCAGAAGTTACCAAACAGCCCCTAAATGTAGATTTTCTGACTTGACACTACATACAGAGCACAAGAATTAAACATATTTTCTCTCAACCTGAATATTTATTTACTTTTAATTTTAATTTTTTTTTAAAATTGATAAATTTTAACCGTAAATTAAATAAATTAATAATGATATTAGATATTGATTTAAAATTATTTTATTAGATTTATTTTATAAAATATTTTCAAAATATTATTTTATCTAATTAATAATCATATCTATTTTATTTAATTATAAATCAAATATTAAAAATAATTCACTGAAAAAAATCAAAATAAATAATTACTAGCCTGGTAAATTAAAGTTGAGTATAATACTCCCTCAGTTCATGCAAAATATAACACATGCAAGTTCGTACACATTTCGCATTAAAGAAACACGCTATCCTATAACTGTACTTGTTTTGGTTTGGAAACAAACCAATTATTTAATTAATGAATAAATGAATAAAGAATTCCCCTCAGAATAATTATAGGTCGGGTCTCTATAGCTAGCTCCAATCTTATATATATAAACCAGACCTTGCGGATCGTCATAGTCTCACATCGATCACCAGGTACGACTCCCTCCACAGTATAACATAAAACGTACATACCCTAATCATGAAGGGCAGGTTCCTACAGAAGTGCCTTAAAAAGCTAAAGAACTCATCAATAGGGAGCCCCTCAGAAAAGTGCCTCAAATGGGGATGGTGGGCCCGTGCAAGGAGCGCAATCCCGAGCGACGTTCCCAAGGGCCATTCGGTGGTTTACATAGGGGAGAACCACAAGAGGTACGTCATCAAAGTATCGTGCCTAAATCACCCGCTGTTCGTCGCGTTGCTTGACCAAACCTCAAATGGTTTTGGTGCCTGCGACTTCACCACTGCTGACTCCAAATTCTGGATACCCTGCGACGAGAAGTTGTTCGTCCGCGTCGTTCGGCACGCCACGCCTCCTCCGAGTAGACGAGCGATTTGTATCTTTTGAAGTGCGGGGATTTGACCCATCTTTTTTTCATGAAGGGAGTCGTCTTTGTGATTGATACTGCATGTAATGTGATAGTATTTGACTTCCTTTATGGGCTAAATATATGTTGTTATCGGATTTTTTTATTTATGTATTTATTGTAACAACATGTGCTATGTTGTTATATTAGATTATATCAAAACTCATTCCTCCGTATTAGTTTTTCTTTGAATTTGGGGTTCGGAGGCTTGCCCGTTACACTCCTGAATTGTGATTATTTTTTTGAATTTGGGGTTCGAGTAAAAATCCAATGACACTAATATCACTAGCACTCTGTAGCAAAACTTTCTTGGAAATTAGGAAGTAAAAACAAGTTCGAACTTAAATGGAGGAGAGCATTAACCTCAAAATTGACGTTGTCATTAATAATGAAAGCAAATTGTCGTCAACATAAAAGGAGACCTTTGATAACCAAGCGTCCAAGCTCATGTAAAAGTTGTTTACAATAAGCACTCGGCCCAGCTAGCAAAATGCGAGTGGCAAAGAGTAGTAAAGTTTATTCCTATTACTTACTTGTTTCATAAAACGGTTTCTTTTTTTATTTTTAATATATATATATATATATATATATATATATATATATATATATATATATATATATAGGGGCCGGTTCCTGTGAGAATGCATCTTGTGGAGAGAAATAAGAATGAAATCTAGCCGTTGGATCTGATGCATCGTGCGGCTCAGATTGCATCCTGCGCTCAGATTTTGAGATAGTGCATTTTCAAAGGATTATGATGCATTTCGACGTGATGCATTTTGAAACCATTTTGTTGCACCTAATTTTGATGCAATCCTGACCCTTAGATCGCACAATCTAAAGCACCAGATTCATTCTCATTTCTCTCCTAAGATTGCATTCTCACCAGAACCAAAATCTATATATATATATATATATATATATATATATTTGTGATTGACTTTCATATTTTGCTTTTGATTTTGATGGATAAACATAAGATTTGATAGATAAATTATTAGTGTAAAAATATAATATAATAAGTAGGGTAAAAAAAGCAAGGATAATAGTAATTTTTTTAATAGAAAGTGAAAGTATTTTAAGGAAAACAAAAAGATGTTTTAAGAAACGGAAGGAATAATACTTTTTCTTATTAGAATTAGATCAAATCAGACCAGAGCAAAACTTATTTCAATCATATCAAAATCATTCAAATCAAGTAAATAGAACATAACCTAAGAAATTGTGTTGTGAGAGGCTTGACAAATCTTGACTGGACGTGAAAATGTATGATGTAGGGTTGGTTGATGTGATAGAAAGTGATGAGATGTAAAACACTAATAACTCTGTTAGAGTGTAATATTTGGTCATACATTTTTAACCTATTAAACTCGTAGAGTTACTGCTGGCACTAGAGATTAAACAGATGTTTTAAATTTTAATTAATTTAAAGTTAAAAAAATAAGTGAGGGAAAACTAAATTTCCTCCATTTTGGTGAAGAAAATGAAAGAAAACTGTTTTCATTCTTTTTCCCTTCAAATTCCTAAAACCATATATAATGTTATAAGAACAATGATAATATTCTCATTTGTAGTGTAACCTTATTTGGCTGTCCATTTTTACCTATGCATAAAATCTCCCTATCCTGCGTGACTCTGAATAAACTGAATAATGGTAGTAACAAATGAAAGCCTACATGCTTTTCATTTCACCACAGCATTAAACTCGAACCATTAACACATCTATTGACAATGGAGGGTTGAAAAAACATCACATAAAATAAGTAGAAAAGGAGAGGAAGTTGGATATTGTTTTGCGGCAGTTAATCAAAACGATTGTATAGATGAACTCAGGACCAACTGACCTTGTTAATACATTCGGGACTAAGTGAATCAGCGTTTTTGAGAATTCAGGAATGCAGATCTTTACATTGATCCAAAACTCTGGGAGAAGATGAGAGATTACAAAAGACAGCAAATCATGTTTCTCCACAACTTCATGATGCTCCTTCGGTTTCTGCCAGAACTTGAGGGGTTGCCAAGCCACGGATCTTTACATCATAATAAACTTCTTCAATCTTCCTGAGATCATACTTCATCCCTATCACAACCAATGGTTCATAATCAGAGGACTATGTTGTGAAAACAGGTCAGTTCATCCACGTTAATCAAAAGCCATAAACTCATAATAGATGGAGAATTTGACACACACACCCCCCCCCCCACACTTCCAACAGGAGATGGCAGATTAAAGGCAAGTTGTCACTAAAACATCAATTAACAGTGAAATGAGATAGAATCTTTGTTAAAGTGCTTCGACAATTGATATATTTTTTTTTCAGAATTTAAATGAGTGGAACGAAAAACCATACCATCAAACTTTTTACGCAAGAAATCGTTTCTCAGATTAAGCATTCTGAATGCAGCATGAAGATCTGTCACAAACTTCAGAACCTGGCGGGGGCAGTCATAATCCCCAGCTGTCACTCGGTTCACCACATATCTTGGCTGCAAATAAAAATAACACTCATTATTCCCCCCCAGTAAGAATAGACAATCTCTGTATAGAGAACGAACTCATATAGTACAATTACAGATTTACAGAATAATCTGTACTGTGTGCATTAGAATAACTTTGTGCTTTTTGAATAACAAAATAGTGAATTTCATCAATTTCATATAACAAGTCAAGTGACTGTAATTTGCCACTTCAACTTGTCTTCTTAATGAATATGGAGTATATCAGAATCCCCTTTTTATGCGTTATGAAGAATATTGATCCACATTAAATTGAAGAAATGGAAAATGTTTAAGTTCAAAAATCACAAGGTTTATGGAGCATATCAAACCTTCAAGAAAAGGCATCCTAAAGCTATAGGCATAACATGATTAATATGCAACACGTTATAAATAGAAATGTTCTTACCAATTCATTAGACATGAAACAAATGCCTGAAAGAAAAAAAACTTAGTTAAAATATACTCTTCAAGTAAGGTTAAAAACTAGCACATAACTGACACAATTTACAAGATGGAAGTAGAATGGGACAATTCCTTGAATGAAAGCAAGAGAATTCAAGGGAAATGACACGAATTGGCACAACTGGATAAGCATCTTAATATTAGACATGTGCCTGTTGGCATATCAGCAATAAATAAGCTATACTCTTAAGAAGAACAAAGCTAATATCCCACCCACAAAAAATCAAAAATAAGTAAAGAACCCACATCCAAAAACAGAAATGTTTCAAGCATCATATTTGCTTTTCAGATAATATTATGTTGCTCGCCTGTAAGGTAATCTTCAATATCCACTCCAAAATCAGACACATTCACTGCAACAAAAAAGTGAGTATTTGAGAACAAGATCAAAGGGAACATATACTGGCAGGAGCAAATAACTCAGAAGGCATCATATCTTGTGAAAGAGTTGCATAAATGAGAAAGAATTAAACGTATGATACTCAACCATTTCAATCACACTCGATGCTTAGCACTTGGAAGTAAGATTTGAGAAGTGAGAAAGCAAGATGTACCTTACCTCTACCACTAGCCTTTAGGAGTATAGAGGTTTTTTCCGTGAAGACCATGTCAAGGGAAACCATGAGAAGTCTTGGAAGATGATTTTTTAACTCTTGGAGATTTTGAGAATAACTAACAGATTTATACATACATTGGAGAGGAGATAGGATGCTGGAGCTAGGCAAACTGGAACAATCAGAGAGGCAACGAGACTTTGGATACTGTCGTTGTATTAGCTAAGTAGAGGTGGTGAAGGCCATCCGCGGGATGAGAGGAAGGACAGCCTTGGCGCCGGATGAGATTCCAGTAGAGTTTTGGAAGTGTGTGTGTTGCATTAGATTTGCGAGGGTTACCAAGCTCTGCGGAAGGAGGTGTGTATATCTGAGAACCAATTTGGCTTCATGACTGGCCGGTCGACCACGGAAGTTATTCACCTCTTGCGGAGGCTGATGGAAGAGTATGGAGCTCAGAAGAAAGACTGTCACATGGTGTTCATTGATCTCAAGAAGGCGTATGATAGAGTCCCAAGAGAGATCTTATGTCTTGAGTTTGAAGGAATTCTGCACAACACACACTAACACATATACATACACAGGTACCTTTAAATATAAACATATTCAAACAGCCTGGTTATGGAGGAGACATTAAGACCAGTTTTCCAAAACTTCTTTGAAGAAGTTTTTATGAAAAAACTAGCCCAAAAAGTTTCATGGATACAATTCACAAAAGCATTCATTGCAACCAATAGGAGGAAGTAATTGGGGCAACTAGGGAGGCAGTGAGAAGTTTTGAGATCATAGATATTTTAGAACTGAAGTGGGCAAAATATCCAGCTTTTCTGGCCTACACTAGCGTAGAAATGGAGGTTGGTGACCAGGGATATGGAGGCCAATAAGTGTTTCATCTTCCGGTGTTGGGTTGGGCAAGCATTTGTTTATCTTGTGCTTACCTTGGGCTTTATTGAGTGCTGATCTTATGTATATTCACTTGGATTCTGAGTGTTTGATTCTCTGCACCAATTGGTCGTTTGGCTCAATTTGGGACTGCATATCGAAGCATCTATGGCTGCTTTTGTACCTTCAATCCAGATTGCTCGGGAATGGCGGAGCAGCTTTTTGTCATTTCTTCTTAATAACCTTGGTGGTGAGCACAGTTATATTTTGCTAGCCGGCAATGGGGAGTGTCAGGACAGTTGGTTTAGCAGGGCACATTTTCATCTATTAAGTTTGAAGATTTAATACTGTTCCAGTACAGAGTTGGTTCAGCAGGGATATCTCTGGCAATTGCATTTTTTAGTATATGGTTTTAGGAAGTTTTGGCTTGGGTTCTAAAGCATAGAACCAAGAGAAAATGGGATGTTCCGAAGGGAGTCACCAGACCCTAACCGCGACCAGGGAAACTTCATAGTCGTTCAGGTTTGGAGCTACCAGAGCAGCAACAGTTTGGACGGGTCTCAAGTGAATTGATTGGATTCCGGTAAGCAACACAATTGAGATGTAGACTAAAGGATTTTTGGGGTTTTCAGGCTGTTTACTCATTTAAGGACAGCTGTTTTACTTTCAGGATAGAGCTTTGTTTCTCAGAATATCAACAGGACAGCTTATGGGAAATGTTAACCACCATAGGTATTATAGTAGAACTAGGCTTTCGTGCCTTTTGATTGTGCTTAATTGTTGTAGGCCTTTTGTGCGCTTTGATTTGGGCTAAGAGACTATTTGGGTTGTAATATTTTCCTCTCAATTAAATCTTATTTATTCTTAAAAACAAAACATATACATATACAAGAACAAAGGTTCTACAAAATAAGCTTTATATAGTTAAAAACTACATCAAAAGTTCTACAAAATAAAAGGTGATAGCACTTTATTACGAGTATTTTATCAAATGAATAACGAAAAGAGTGAACGAGAACTTCATTTTGGTAAAGATAGAGTATATTGTATTTGTTCATTTGTTACAAAATATGCTAAGCCTTCCTCGCCACCCCCACCCTAAACATCCAGGATGCAAATTAACTTAGAACTAAAAATACCCCTCCTGTCCTCTCATATATATCCACAGTTTCACACAAAGTAATATGTATACCTTCTCTACCCTTCAATGAGCAAATTTTGGACAGATAACTTTGAAGTGAAGAGTAAATTTTGTGTGTTAATCTGGAAGAGCTATAGACTCTCTAAAGTCCTCATGTTTTACTCCACAGCTTCCACCAATTATGCTAATACTCGAGACATTACTTAAACAGAAGAATATAATGAAACATACAGCCAAGTTTCTCCTCAGCTTCGTTATGCAGCAGAAGAGCCCCTGTCTCCAGCCAATGCATAAAAGCTAGCAATGACACAACTGTCTGAGTCTCCGTCCTCCAGTCACTATGATACCTATACATCAGTGATGTCAGTTACTAACAATGAATAATAATCTAAAATACTCCCTCCGTCCAAAAATGTTTGCCACATTTCCTTTTTCAACAACCATAGGAACTTTAATTTATTTGTACGTTTTCATTGATTATTTGATAAAAATAAAATACTCTTGACACCTCTTATCTCGAAGATTTTTTGTGTAGTTTTTAAATATGTAAATTTTATTTTTTGTTTCTATACCAATATTTAAATAAAATAAATTGAAAAAACTTAATATTTTGCCTCGTTTTTCAAAATGTGGTAAACATTTAGGGAAGGAAGGATTATCAAATTAAGCTCATGAAAGCCAGAAATAGGGAAGAAGTCTTCTGTAACTGCTACAAACCTATAATACTGTCCCGGGCATTCATGAACAATTTCAGAAAGATGGCTATAATGTTGCTTCAATAATTCCACTTGACCCTTTGCTTTCTCTAAAACCTCTAATGGATTGCATGACAACAAAATAAAATTAATCACTTCCCATATAAGAGAAATGCCAATATATGTCAGGACTGAGGAAGATAAATGTGCAGGATCATTTTGGGTGCACACCACTTTTAACACCAAAGAAGAAATTCACAGGCAACTTTTTAACCGTGAGACAAACAAAAATTGCATCAACAATCCTGCTTTCATTTCAAAGGTTGTGAGCAAGAAGTTTTTCTAAATGTACAACTTGGCAACATTCTTTCTCGAAACCTCTAAGTGATTGCTTCATGACATAATAATTTTAACTCCTTCACAGAGTAAAATTACTTCATTTCATCCAAGAAGAGAAATGTGCATATATTCTGTGATTGTAAGCATATATTTTCTTTCTATAACTAGAACTACAGCCACTTAAACTCTCGAAATGCAATTCTCAACAAAACATAAAAACCCAAACACTTGAACAAAGCAAATATATGGCAAGCTTGCATATACCGACCAGAAACAGGGCGAGATTGGTGAACCAGGAGGAGATTGGAATGAATGAGCCGAGCGGCCGACTCGATCTCCATAGCCACAGCTCGTATCCGCTCGCGCAAGACGGAAGATTCTTGAAGACAGTTCCTGAAGTCCTCGAACTGCTTGTCCAGCTTCTCCGAGGAAGGGGAGAGGGGGGCGCCGATACCACCGTCCGCCATTGAAGTACAGTATGGAGCCGAAACGGTAACTTTGTCAGGAAGGAATGGTGAATTTCGAGCACGAAGGAGAGCGATATGGAAGACGGGGTTAGGGTTTAACAGTTTAAATTGGCCCCCTGGTTTCAGAGGGATTAGAGAGATCGTTTTTCGGAACACAGATTTCATTTTTGTTTTTTTATTTTTGAAAGGAGTGATTTCATTTTGTTCCGGCTTTAGGCTGCAGGCTTCCCTGACTTCAAAATTTGGCCTTCAAAATTTGGCCTTCCTTCCCTGACTTCAAAATTTGGACTTCAAAAAATTACTCCTTCCCTCCCACTCTTTTTGTCCACTTTCATTTTTGCACATCATCCAATGCACTTCTTTAATCCATTTTATCTTGTAATTTGTATATTAAAAAATTATAAAAATTATATATTAATAATCTATATGTTAAGACAAATCAAACAAGATCACACATGACTATTTTTAGACTTACACATTGAGAGAATTTGATGAGTCAAAGTGCTTAGATGAACAGTTCCAAAAGTCAAAACTGGACAAAAAGAGTGGGACGGAGGTAGTAATTGTAATTTTTTAAAGCCACTGAAAAAATGATGATGAGACAAGATCATTTATGCAATTTCCTATTTAGGTGTTTTTAATGCATCATGTCAATTTCTATCTAGTTGTTTCTCTCTCTTGTTTGAGAGCATAAAAAAAGTACTTGTATTTCTATGTTTTAACTTAACATCTCTTTCAAAAAAAACTTTCAACATCTAACAAGTGCAAAATAAACCGAGTAAACGAGAGGCGAATTACTACTCCGTATAAAACTCCGGCAATGTGAAAGTGAAATAAAGGCATACAGAAAATATATAAGTATGCAACAATCTAGGGACTAAAAACATCATCTTTTCCTCAAACCATTGTCTTGTGCAGATCAAATTTAATACAAGGAGTACTTGTGAACATCTTGGTAGAAGTACAATAGTGAGAATAAGGCACAACAGCTATAAGACATTACAAGTTCTTCTAGTTGAGAAATCTAAAAGATGAAACTAGTTACATTTTACAGGCCGGTTCCTGTAATATTGAGCTCAATATCATAAGATGACCCGAGTCTCCTACGGGACTTTGTTGGTAAAATTGATAGTTTTCACCCCCTCTACGATTGGCTACGGTGGCCAAGCGGCGAAGGATGGGAGGTACAAGGGGCAGAGGGTGTAGGGGGAACGAACCATCAAATTTATCAATAGAGCATTGTAGGAGCCCCGGGTCATGCTATGACATTGAAATTCAATGTCACATGAACCGGGGGTGTACATTCTATCCAAAGGGAAGCCACTCAATTATACATCAGTACATGACATACAAGACTATATGATTACATTGTACAAAAGGAGTGGCACATACAACAAGGTCATCCCTAAAAGACTATGGTGTGAGGAAGTCATTTCTTTCCTAGACTAATTAAACAAAGAAAGGCTACCAATCGACTAAGTGCGCCCGTGAGCAAGAGCAGAAGAAGACATCTCGTCCAATCATGAACATCGTAACCCAGCTTCATTAGTGCTCCACAACGGGTTATCAACCATACTCCAGAGAATCTGGAAAAAGAAACATAATCAACCCGAACCTTGGACTTGATCTAATAGATAGCTTTGGAAACAGATAATTTCCAGTTTTTAAAGAAAGTTCTCTGGAAAAAAAGCAAACCTTTGTGCATTTGCAGTAACAAAGGCTTCTAAAGCCCACTTTGGATAACAAAACCTTCCTATATACTTCCCAACCTTGTCATCCGCATCCTGGTTCGCGATGAGAGTCAGAACAACGGGAAAAAGAACGCACCACTGCATATGTATGGGGATAAGGCATGAGATGTCAGCATGATGCAGAAATCTGGAGGATGTGATTTGTTTAAACAAAAAGTTTAAGCCGGTGACATGTGTGTGTGTGTGTGTGTAATAGCATCATATTTCAACTGTTAAAAGCAATGCATACGCATAAATTTGGGCTAGTTGTTATTTCAAAATTGAATGGAGAGGCATGTTAATTACCAACTGCGCAGGACCGGGTTGGAAGCAAACTGCAAATACATAGGCCATTCCAGTAACACAGTACACAAGGCACAGGAAAACGACGTAGTTCTCCCAGAATGTTGATCTGGGGTTGTTGAAAAAATAGAACATCGAAAGGAAAACCAGGGGCTTTATGATAGTATTGAAAAGGTCCAGACAATCCTTTGAAAGAAAATAAGCTAAACTGCTAATGCCACTTGATCTCTCTCTCCAGTATTCTAACTTGTCTGAGGTAAAGGATCTCAGGGCTGCAATCTTACATAAGAGTGCTGCAAACAAGAAACATAAGTAGAGAATGAGTAATCATATTCATGTGTGACATTGCTTGCTTTGTTAATCAGTTCCACTTACAGACTGCAATGACACTATACATGTAGCCATAATATCCAAATGTGTCACCCTTTGTCTTCGAAAGGGTTCCTAAGCATGCTCCAGCAACCAAAAGGATCAGATAATCTGCTGCTTGTACTTCAGCTTCTCGCAATCGCTGCTTTGTGGTCCTGAAGACAAAAAATAAAAAAATCAACTTTGCTGAGTGTATCTTCAGAGCCTGATGCTAGCATAATCTTGCAGACATGCAATGTTTCAGAAGATTCAGTGTTTGAAAAAATTGATAGAATCGTGATACTGTTAATTAGAAGTGTATGAAATAGTGTAGGAAGATGTTAAAATCAATACCTTCCGAGGTAGTATCTAAACTGGCGTCCCACACCAGGAGTGGCTCGATTAGATAAGTCGTGGGATGCCAAAAAGTTGTGATGTGAAGAATCTCGAGTCTCGTGCCACATATCTCCTGCAAGAGGTTGCGGAGGCGGTGTGGTACCGTTTGATGATGATGCCGCCTCATCACATAAGTGCATCATATCAGGGGGAACAGGATACCCATTATAAAGCATCCATCTAACAGGAAGTTGTTCAATGGTCAGCCCTTCAGGTGGTTTCTCAATTCCCTCAAGGATGTCAATGAAGTGATCTGGAGGATTTACACGATCTGGAACAGTTATTCCAAGGCCTTTAAAATATTCTTCTACTTTCTTAACAGATCCTTGGTACACAATAAGACCGCCTTTGGCAAGAAGTATCAAGTCATCAAACATCTTGTACAAGGTGTAGCTGAAGTGGAGAAAGATCATAATGAAAATCTATCTCTATGAATTGAATGTGTGTTGCAAGTTGTGTGTAAGTACCAACCTTGGTTGGTGAACAACCATGCAGATGTTTACTCCTTCAAGAGCTTCACGCCTAAGAGCTTTAAGAAGTAAATTGGAAGATGAACTGTCTAAACCAGATGTGGGCTCATCCAATATTAGCAGTGAAGGTTCCATGACCATTTCCATTCCAACGTTTACTCGCTTCCTCTGACCACCTGAGATTCCACGCTTTTCAACAGTCCCAACTAATGAATCCCTCACTCCCTGCAGACCCAGTGACTCAATGACCCTTTCTATGATGAGGACCTTGTCAGCCTTTGGAAGATCTTCGGCTAGCCTTAACGATGTACAAGAAAAGATGGAGGGACAAAAACCGTCAGGGTATGAGAAATAACAACTCTGAACCTTGAACATAATGAACAAGAGAGAGTAAAGACATAACAGTTCTAACATTTGTATTCAAACAAGATAAAGAGGTAAGTCATGTAATTGCCATTAAAAATAATGAAGCTCCACAGTCCACAATCCACACTTGACCTTAAGATCTTAGAAAAAAAGGTTTCCTTGTATGAAAAAACTACTGTTGACAAATCCCTACATTTACAACAAACTGAAAAACAAAGCTCACTTATTAATACAAGTCTAGGCTTGCCTACATGAATATGAGGAGCCTTAGAGTTTTGTATTTCCCGTTTCTTTTTCCTATTTCTTAGATAGATAAACAGTTAAGTATAGCTATATACCTGCACCGTGCATTGAAACGGAGGTTCTCTTCCACTGTCAAGTTCCCATGGACAATATCATCTTGGGGTACAAAACCAATAATTTTCCGGTAACACTGAATGGATACATCCTGTCCATTTATGAGAATTGAGCCTGTTATCGTGCAGCCGGTAATCTTTCCTACCACTGCAGAAAGAAAAGTTGTCTTTCCAGCTCCTGATGGACCCATGACAGCGGATATCCGGCCCGGCATCAATTTCCCAGTAACACTTCTCATCAAATGTTTATGCTTCTTTCTGAGAGTTATTGTTAGATCTTTGAAGGCAATCTCTAGCGTGGGCCTAGTCTTGATATCTTCATCTGTGGCCATTGAAATTATCCCTGAGAAGGTCATGTTTTGCTGCACCTGCTCCAAAGCTTTCTCTTTCTCAAGTTGACCATATGCATACTTAAATATTTGGGTCCGACTATGCAATTGTTTAGCCTTAAGTGCTTGTTTCTTAATATTCTTATCTCCTATCTGCATGTTGAAGCCTTCTTGATTTTCTGGATCCTTTTCAATTGAATGCATCATCTTTGTAAGGTTGTTTGGTTCCTTTTTCTTTTCTGCTGCAGGGTCTTTATGAGGTAGGGATGGGCCCGACTGATCTGCTTGCTTTGTATTATTAGCTTTCCTAGAGAACGTCCGAGAGAACTGCCGTAATCCAGCTAAACCCCCAGTCTTTGCAACATCTTTTGCAGACTTCCATCTTTCCCTTGCATGTGCAGTTTCTCGGGCATGTTTTGCTGCAGCTTCCCTGGACTTGGCCATTCTTGCATACCGAGTTGTTATGACTTGATCAGAGAAATTATAAAAGATTATAAGTATAAAACTTAAAGCACCCTGCATGTTCAAAAAAGGAAAAAGAAAGGCATATCAGTTTCTATCTAAAGAACTTCCAATTTAATTTTTTTAATCTGCAGATTTAAGACACTTGAAGAATACATTTCCAACTAACACTAGAAATTTTTGTTAGATCGCAACATCAGTGAAGAAGAGATACTGAAGATATTTATCTTGTTCCTAATTTGATACCAAGGTAAATTACACTTCGGAAACAAAGAGGAATATCAGCCAAGACCATGAGAAATGGATTCCAATGCACACACTTCACCTATAGTATCTGAGACACTACACTGGCACATGACGGACACTGTGTCCAAAACTTGTCCACTAACTAAATATGTAGTACATGAAAATGAAAATCAATATATTGGACACCGTGTCGGAGTAGTGCCCACCATTCAAAATCAGAATATATTTAATACAATAGATCGATTGATATATAATTATTTAAATTATTATTATGATTATAACTGTGTCCAAGCTGTGTTGTGTGCTTTGGATTTTTAAATTGTCATCTCCCATGTCCAATCTGTGTCATGTCTGTAACGACATGTCAGTGTCCGTGCAATACAGGAAATAGATCATTCTCTAGCATTTACACTTCAACCCCCACCCCGCCCCCAAAAAAGATGATGAACTCATAAAAGAGAAGACCACTTACAATTATCATGAACCCAAAGGCGTGCAGATTTTGGATCTCGGATTTTGGATTGCATGTACTCAACTTGAAGCATGCTGCACTTTTTACAACAAAAGGTCAATTTCCAAATGAAGGTAATTATCTCTGGCAAAATAAGCATATACTAAATTCAAAAACATTGTGATTCAATGGGAATCTCCAAAGTAGGAAGTATGCGATGAATCAATGATCAGAAAGGTCTAATTGCAATAGCCAAAATGGGAATCTCCAAACTATCTTTATGATGGAAAAAACTAATTGCAATAGCCAAAATGCAAATGCAGAGAATCCATGCATTCTCTGTTTCCTAAAACTTGGAGATCTACTGATCAAAGGTCTAAAAAAAATTAACTAAATAAAATCTTCAAAAATAAAGATGACCTGTGACAGATAATTTCAACAATTGGTATATCAATGAGAACAAACCTTTTGGCTTTGTCGAACCCTTCATGCAGTAATGCCTGAAAGTAATAAATAATATCAGTTATGTAAGTTATTAACACAAATGTACATAACTCGGAAGTGAACAAAAATACCCTTTAGAGCAAGATATCTTTTTCGTAGTAGAGGGGCAATAAGATCCTGCAGAACAGAACAACCCCTCACTACTTGTGTCGCCAGCCCATATATCAGCTCCACCGCACGTATGGTTTGTCTTTCCAGGAGGTATTTGGTACTGATACCTGAAAATTTGTTCATATACTAAACATGTGTTAAACTGTTAACTGATCATACACAAGAACAATAGTAGAAAATGTATTCAAGTTTTTAAAAAACCCCATATACTTGTAAGTCTAACTTACGGATCACACACACCAGTTGCTTTGTTGAGTGAAGCACGAGGGCAGTAAGCACCTAATGGGCAAGCTATGAAAAGATAGCAACAACAACAAAAACTGTACAAATTAGTACTCAATTCCAATAATCAATAGTTTCTTGGCGTATTTTCTCAGAAGTATAGAATTAAAAGTAAAATTAAAACAAAAAGAAGCTGCAAATTTAGAGACTGGAATTAAAATACACAGAGAATACTGATACTGCATGATTAAACTGTATCTGCAGACAGATGATGCATTGTGGTTTTTGTACATGTCACAGATTCATATCCTTCTAAAGGGAAAAAGCATAACTAACACATAAATAACTTACGTATCATGCAAGTGAGACCTCGAGGGCAAAAAAAACCCTCACAACAAGGCTGGCTATTTTGAGTTCGATCCGGTACATCCTTGGAGTTCTTAAGGTCCACCTTTTCATCTGTAGAAACACTGCTAGCCCATCCCGGTTCACATCCAGGAACCCAAGAGGTCAAATTACAGTTACGGTTGGGTTTTAAGAATTGAACCTCTGCTGATCTTGTATCCAAAAAACTGGTGAAGTAAAATTTTATCTCTGCAGCAGTACATAGTCGTTGTCTTACATCTGTTGATAAAAATAACCCATTATGATGATGGTTTTCGAATTTTATCTTACTACACTTTCATAAGTAGACAGCAACATAAAAGGGCATTTAATTCAAGACTTTGTCACTATATTATTTAGCATGAATTTGTACTGTGAACTAAATTTAGACAATTAATTAACACTACAAATTTCATACCACACACCACAGCTAGTTGGGATTAAGGTGATGATGATTAGGATGACTAAATTCTACTCATTTAGAAATGCAGTTTCGATGAGGGAACATTATTGTCTAAATTAAAATAGTGTTGCCTTGAGCATATGCCACATGATTTAAATTTCTTAAAGAGATTGGCCATTTCTTTAAAAAAACTGGCAAAGGAAAAAAAATAGATAATGTCAAATAATATGATTCTCCCTTGAACACCCATGAATGTAATAGCGGAACTAATCTTAGGTCTCACAACGTAATGTCTAATCAGCCCGTGCTGCTAAATTACTTTTAGGAAACTAGAGTATAGTTGAATGCCTTTTGTCTCTTTGTAACAGTTACTCATGAAATCCAAATTCTTGGAAAAATTGAAGGCTGCATTGACATCTGCATCTCTGCATTCATATAGAACAAAGTTTAATGAAAATCCTGAGCACAATTCAATTAACCAAGACACATATTACATTACTTACACATCATTAATGCAAAATCCAAGCTCCCTGTTGATATCTTTGTTATAAACCTTTGTAAGGTTCGAAATTTGGGTATATATGAGAGATGAAACAATTGGCACTGCAGCAGCTTGATTGCCCCCACCAACATCGCCATCGGAGTCATCCACGTCATCTTCACACCAAACGGGCCAAAATGACGCCAATGCAAGAATCAGCAACAGCAAACATGGAACGGGAATCCTCGTTCCGCTCATCTCAATCATTCCAAATCCTCCATAACTCATTCATAAGGCCGGAAAATCGATATAATCTTAAGCTTTAACGATCAAATTCCTACTTTGCTCTGCAAATATCTCCGGGTACCTCTTGATTCGAAGCCTCAACAAGAACAGCGAGGGATCCCCAATATTGATGACCCGTAATTTCGATGATTTGTTGTGGAAATGGAATGGATGGGGGGTTAGATGGGGGAAATTGCAGGGAGCTTTTGGAGTCTGTGTAGCCGAGAGAAGAAAAGACATTCTGGTGAAGTTTTGGGAGGAATTGGGAGAGAAATGACATGAGGTTTGGGAGGAGCTCCATTGTTTCCGGAGCAACAAGAAATGGTTGGGAGGCATTCATGGCTAACTTCCGAGTTTTATCAAAAAAAAAACAATATTGAAAAAAAAAGGATAGAAGATGGACAATTTTGGTCCGTCGACTTCCGTGGTTGACTTCCACTTTCAAAGTAGTCGACGGAGAATCCACGGATCGCACTGAATCGGAGCGATATCCGGTATACAACCGGCCGGCCGGCTGCCCAGTCGGCAGAGGCGGATCCACTTGAGTATATTTTGAGTATATTAGAGATTTAGAGCATCAAGCAAGGCGAAAATGGATTGTCATAGATAAGAAACTTTTTAACCAATCAAAAATAGTCCAATCAGCATGTGGCAAGTAAATGGAGGGGCAAGCCCTACAATGGCAAGTCATTTCTCCCTCTATCCTAAAACGTTCTTCCCACTTCCACTTTTTCTCCGTCCTAAAACTACCTTCCCATTAGAAAAAAAATGACAAATGACATTAATACTCTCATGTATTTACACCAATTATCTTCTAACTCTATATTTTGAATGATTGCAAAAAAAAATTCAAAAAATCTTTTTTAAGGAGGATAAAATTTGAAGTCAAAGCCAAAAATTAAAAATGGGGAAAAGTCAAACTGGGAAGAAAGAATTAGGACGGAGGGAGTATTTTTTATCACTTTTTTACATTTTTTTTATGTTTTTTAAACATAAAAAATATTTTTATTATTTATTTTATTAAAAAAATTATTCTACTTTCTTGTACATATTTTTTTCATAAAAAATTTTAAAAAAAATTATTTTTAAAAAAAGAAAAAAAGTAGTATGAAGTGCCACACTCATGCCTCACCAAAAAAGGCATTTTGGTCTTGTCATGTCATGATATGAGTGGAAGAAGCTGATGTGGCAGTGCAAGGCATCCTTCTTCCTTGTCATTGCACATGCTATTAGGTATTTTTTGAGGAAAAATGCTAGGGGTACACCAAAAGTGTACCCCATTTGTCCCTCATCCCCTCCATAATCACACAAAAAAGGCAAGAGAAAAAAAAAATTAAATAAATAAAAATAAAGTCAAATTGAGTGGTGGCGAAAGGGGGGGACAAATGGGGTACACCAAAGGTGTACCCCTAGCATTGCTCTTTTTTGAGTATTAGGGGCTGTTTGTTTCAGGCTCTTAATGGTTCAGATGTCTGAATGGTTCAGCACTTAATGGTTCAGACTGTTTGTTTCAGCCTCTTAATGGTTCAGATGTCTGAATGGTTAAGAGATTTGCCTCTGAATGGTTAAGTATTATACAGAGTCTGAATGGTTAAGACTTCTTATCTGAATTGATCAGACATTTGCCTCTGAATAGTTAAGCAATATACTAGCTCTTAATGGTTCAGACCTCTTACTGGTTCAGCACTTACCGATTCAGAAGTTGCCAAACAACCCCTTAGTATATATTTAACCCAAAGCCACTTGAGAAGAATATTGTGTATGTGCGTGGTCACACGCGTATGGCATTTGTGAGATGGTTGAGCCTTCCCTTCTCCAAATCGCTGTGTGATTTTTTCTTTTTTTGACTTTTTAGTGTTCTTTTTTAATTACTCCATCAAAAAAAACCTCCATAGCAAAGACAAAAAAGAAAACACATCTTAAGTAGGTTAATTAAATTATACCTATTTCCTCCTCTCAAAGTTTATTCACTTTTTTTTATATGTTCATTCAAAATTAATTTTTTTACTATTTTCTTTCTCTTTTTTAAAAATGATATATTTTACAAAATATTTATTTCTCTTCTAAATATATTCAAATTATATAATTTTTACCTTTTAACAACTTTTCAAATTTTGTATTTGCATAATTATATGTAGTATCAAAATATGGATAATTATATGTAGTATCAAAATACGGAAACTTTGAGTTTTGGTGATGAATTTTATATTTTTGTTATCATATGCTTTATTTACTTACATTTTGGTAACTAAGCTTTAAGAAAGTTGATTGTAGTGAAAAGGATACCAATTTGAATGATCATCAGTATTCAAATTCTCCTTTACAACAAAGCTTGTTCATTCTAAGAAAAACAAAGTATTTGATGAATAGTGAAGTTATTGATTCTAATCTTTAAAACTTATGTAAAAAAGTATATATAAGAATATGTTCGGAAAAAGTTTGAGCGTTTAGCATTAATGTTTTGAAAAGGTTATCTAACAACAGCGTTTGACTTTACTATTTTTAAAATTAATCTATATCTTTAATTTTGTTCTAAAACACTAACGCTAATATTTGAAAATGTTATTTTCAAACAAAATCTAGATCTAAACTTTCTTCATTTAAAACTTTTCACAAGAAATCGTCATTTATAACAATTGAATTTTGTTTATGCTCTAATAAGCCCCCAAATGAGAAGACAAATTTTGTTTATGCTCGAACCTTGCATGTGAATATTAATTATTTTTTAATTGGGTGGTGGTAAGATTTGAACTTGTGGCTCCTAGGTCAGCAAAACTTTGATATTATACGAATGAACTAATTCAACCAAAAGATTAAACTTGTTGGTTTTGAATGAAATTTAATTTGAATAATAAAAACTTAAACTGGGACCCCATGGCTCAAGATTCCTGGATCCGCCTCTGCCAGTCGGTCGGTCATGTGATTCATGCCCAGGTGCCTAGCAGCTGCACTTACTACAATGGAGGATTGAGATACAAAGTCAATTTAAAAAATAATCCCTATGTCCCAAAATATTTGTAACACTTACTTTTTCGGCAGTTGCAGAAACTTTCGTTTATTCCTACGTTTTTATTGGTTATTTGATAAAATAAAATATTCTTTGTTGACCCTTGTGTTTTGATAATGACAACCTTAAATGCGGGATGAGCTTTGGATCTCGTCATCCTGATGATTTGATAAGGATTATCTCGCAAGTCGGCTTACGTGTCTCAAGACAGGATTTGATGTTAAAAGGTTTTTTTAGATCTTTTATATTTCTTTTGAGTCTTAGTTCATGTTAAAGTGTTTGGCACATCTTTATTCTTCAAATACTCTGTTTTTCCTACAGCAATTCTTCTTTGATTGTTTTCAAAACCCTTTCTCAAAATCTTTCTTCAAAAATGTTTCTTCCCAGGTTTTTATTCGAATAATTTATGATTTATTCGAATAAGAGGGACTTCTGCAGATTGCAGTTCGGTCTGTTTTAATCGAACAAATGCTTGTTTTATTCAAATAAGTGTTGATTCCAGTTTTTCCAAAGTTTTGAAAACTATTCGAATAAATGGCTATTTATTCGATTAAGTAGCTTCCCAGGATTTCTGTTCACCCTGGTTTATTCGAATAAATCTTTAGATTTATTCGAATAGGAGCTGCGTTTTTAAATTCCTGTCTTAGCAAAACTATTCAAATAAGTTTATGTTTTAGTCGAATAAATCGACAGTTTTCAACAATAAACGGTCAATTTTTGAATTCCTTTGGAGGTTTTCTCAACCCTATCCTTATTTAATACAACTCGTTCCGTTTTTCAACATATAAGAACACCCAAGAACACTTTCAATATCAATCCTTTGATAAATTCAAAGAGCTTTATTCAATATAACCTTCCTACTCAATTTATTCAAGCTTTTCTTTGAGCAATCCTTCCAATTGAAGTTTGGAGAGTTTATTGTGCCATACACTATAAGTTTGGTTGTAATCTACAGCATATCCGCTCTTGTTCGAAGAGTCAATTCCGCTGTGCAATTTGTTTTGTAAGTTTTAAAGTGTAAAAACTTGAGTTTGAAACAATTCAAGTTTTTGGATTGAAATCCAAAGTCTTGTGAAATCAAGACTTCAGTGGAAAGGTTAGAGGCTTTTGAAATCAAGTTTTCGAGTTGTATTCCCATTGTTAAACTCCGTTAAGTTTAATAAGAATTAGTGGAATCTCGGGCACGTTTGCCTTGGGGACTGGACGTAGGCATTAGGCCGAACAAGGATATATCGTTGTCTCTTTGCATTCATTATTTCTGTTATCCTTTTATTTTATTCCTGCACTTCTCAACTTAAAGCCGAAAATTTTATTATTTTCGTAAACACCTCTATTCAACCGCCGCTGCTCCGCTGCCTGCCGGCGCTGCTGACCGGTGTTGCTATTTTGTTTTTTATTAATTTTTAATTTTCAAAATTTAAAAAAAAATGTGATTTTTGGTGTTCAAAGTGATGAGCTTTACTCTATTTCTAGGTGAGCTTTCCATTGTCCATGGGTGAGCTTTGTAGTGTAGTGTGGTGAGCTTTGCATCATCTCACTGAAGCATGTCATCTCACCATAAGGTGTCATCTTACTAGAGTCCATCCCTATATATATATATATATATATATATATATATATATATATAGGGATTGACTCCAGTGAGATGACACCTTACGGTGAGATGACATGCTTCGGTCAGATTACACAAAGCTCACCACTGGTCACTGCAAAGCTCACCAAAGACAACTCCAAAGCTCACCAAAGTGTAAGGCAAAGATCACCACATTTTTTCAACACTTTGAATTTTTTTCCAAAAACAAAAATCAAAGGAAAGGGTGCTGACTGGACTTTGACTGTTGACCGCCGCCTGCCACCGGTCGCCGGTCGCCGTCACCGATCTCCGGCAGCCACCGCCGTCGCCGATCTCCGGCAGCCACCGCCGGTCGCCGCCGCCGGACTCCCGCCGCCGGTCGCCGTCGCCGATCTCCGGCAGCCACCGCCGGACTCCGGCCGCCGCTGCTGCTCCGCCGCTGTGACCGGTGGTTGACCGGTGTTGTTATTTTATTTTTAATTAATTTTTTAATTTTAAAATTAAAAAAAAAAAGTGTGTTTTGGGGTTCAAAGTGGTGAGCTTTGCTTTATTTCCAGGTGAGCTTTGCTTTGTGCATTGGTGAGCTTTGCAGTGTAGTGTGGTGAGCTTTGCGTCATCTCACCGTAAGGTGTCATCTCACTGGAGTCAATCCCATATATATATATATATATATATATATATATATATATATATATATATGGGTATTTTATTAAAGGGAATAAGAAAGAGGTTACAAACAAGAGCGGGTGGCCGGGGTGGGATAAAACAAGTTTCTAACAATGATGCTACAATAGAGAAAACTAGGGGAATATTTTTCTACGAATAGAAGGCTGAAGACCTATAGTTCTCATATCTTCATCCATAATCATC